GAGGGCGGAGCCCCCGGAAGCTCAGGGGTTTTGGGCAATAAACAACGGTCAGATGAGCATGTTTTTATACCTTATTTGCGACACTGGCAGGACACAAATTGGTGTTGGGGCCAGGGGGGCGGAGCTCCCAGAAGCTCAGGGGTTTGGGGCAATAAATAACGATCAGATGAGCATATTTTTGTATCTATTTGTGACACTGGCAGGACACAAATTGGTGTTGGGTCTAGGGGGCGGAGCCCAAGAAGCTCAGGGGTTTTATACATTACATTATCTCATTAAATCTCATTAAATTAATAAGCTCAGGGGTTTTGGGCAATAAATTACTGTCAGATGAGCATGATTTTATACCCTATTTGTGACACTGGCAGGTCACGAATTGGCGTGGGGTCCAGGGGCAGAGCCCCCGGAAGCTCAGGGGTTTGGGGCAATAAATAACGGTCAGATGAGCATATATTTATACCTTATTTGTGACACTAGCAGGACACAAATTAGTGTTGGGTCCAGAGGGCGGAGGGGGTTTATACATTAAAATAATTATCGTCAGATGAGCATATTTTTTTCCATATTTGTAACACTGGCAGGACACGAATTGGCGTGGGGTCCAGGGTCGGAGCCCTCATGAGCTCAGGTGTTTATACATCAATTTATCGTCAGATGAGCATAATTTTATACCTTATTTGTGACACTGGCAGGTCACGAATCGGCGTGGGGTCCAGGGGGAGAAGCTCAGGGGTTTTAAGCATTATAATTACCGTCAGATTAGCATCCAGCCGTCCGCCTTAGGGCCCCAGGGGGCAGAGCCACCGGAAGTCAAGGGGTTTTAGGCATTTCATTACAGTCAGATGAGCATATCTTGAGACCTTTGATATCTTTACCCTTTTATTTCCTTTTTTCCCTTCTTTTTTGCCAGGGGGGGGGGCGGGCCCCCCCCGGCCCCCCCGGCCCCCTGGATCCGCCACTGCATGTAACGGAGAAGGGAAAGAGACACTTTTTAGAAAAGAAAAGGAGCACGTGTTGAAATAAACGGTAATTATCAGAGGTGAAAATAGGGCACTTCTCAAAACTGGATGAAAAGGGGCACTCGCTGGAGATGAAAAGGAGCTTTTATAAGAATGAAAAAGGGGCAATTATTTTTAAAGGCACACCTATCGGGCATTTATCAGACTCTGAAGTGTAAAAAGGTCGTTTATGAGAAGGAAAAGGGGCACTTCTCAGAAGAAAAAAGAAAGCACGTGTAAAAGTAACAGGGGCACTCATCAGAGATGAATAGTGACTATGAAAAATTGTATACCTTACCCTAAAAGTTTTCTGCACACGATTGTGGCATTTTCCTAGATTAACAATTTAACAATGTAATCTGCGTGCTCCTTTTTGTGTGTATGATTTGTGAATTATGTATCCTTTTAACGTAATATAAGCTATGTGTGATTTAAACACCTTTTTTTCTTCAAAAATGTGGTTGTTTTGTATACCCTGAATGAGTCGGCCTCCAATGGCAATACCCTTTTCCTTCATGTGTGTGTACGCGCATGGTGTACAAGCTGGTTCATTACCACGGGAATCAATAAATGCATTCATTATTTTAGGATTCATTGTTTGAGTCATTATGACTACTCGAGTACTGGTATCTTTTATTCACAAATGTTATAATTTCAGATCAAGATTACTTAAAGTGGCACACATGTTTTCATTATGATCATACTAGTTCTGCATTTTGTAGATAGGCCTACATATTAGTTAGATATAAATTTGAGCGTTATCAATCGCATTCTTGTGTATTCATTTTTTTTGCGGAATGTAATATGTATGGAAGGTCCAAAATCATGATGGTAAGGTTATTTCTATCTTTAAATATCTTTTTCTAGATAAAGAAACTGATAAGTTTCATAAAATTACTTGCTTTAAATAAATTTTAGCACGGTACTATGATAATCAGGATATAGAATGAAAGACATTTCCTTTTTGAAAGGGATCTTTGTTATGGCTATACTTACCTTAATGCCATTAGTGTGCATCTAATATTTTGACTTAACTTGAAGCTGATGGAAAACATTCCTAAATGTCCCAAAATGTTTGAAAATACCGTCTATTTCACTACTAAACCCTTTATTTGACAGTAACTAATATAAGGGATACTATTAGTCTGTGTTGTAACGTATTTAGGCCTATGTCATATCCAAATGCTTGCATTCATTTCGATGATACTAAAGCCTGTCATTCCTTGAAGTATAACTGCATATAATCTGAGTCTAATATGATGTTGTTTAGTGACGTAAGGTTCAATAGCGTAGCGGGGGGGGGGGGGGGGGGGGCGTGTCCCGGGCGCCACTTTTTAAAGGGGCGCCAAATTATCGGTGACAAAGAAGAACAAAAATCAATGATTGGTAATGGTTAAACTGATACAGTTTTTGTTATAAATACGACATTCATCTTCCACACGGGTTTTCTAATACGGTTATCTTTTTCGAAAATCGAAAGCTTCCGTGACAAAGTCACCCCATGATCTTTTGAAACGATTTGGAGTGAAATGGATGTTATCTTGTCGTAGCGACTGTTCATTAAATCAATTAGGCCTATGAGAAAAGACTAGCCTGGCTGCCCGGCTATCGAAACTCGAACAAAGTCAAGGTAAGTATAGGATATAATTAGGCCAACGTATTACTGAAACAAAATAGAATAAAGAGCCCTTATCAACTGAATTTTCAGCAAAACTGGTTTGACAAAATGGAAGAAAATCTAAGCGTTTTAAGGTCTAAAAACCCAAGAGCCTTCCGGTGGCCTGACCCTGGACTCTCTCTGGGCTTTGCCCATGGACCCAGAGGCGGCGGAGCCGGGGAGGGGGCAAAGCACCCCTTTGTACATATAAAAGGTTCCCCCTTTTATTTCAGATAAATGCCCTTTAAAAAAAATTCAAATAGGTGCCTGTTCTACATTCCTATACGTGCCTCTTACCACACTTTACCTATATAATTGCCCCTTTTCAAATCTGACAGGTGCCCATTTCACTCCCGAACAAGTTCCCTCAGTTTATTTTGCAATAAGTACCCCCTTTCCCTTCTTATAAGTGCCCCTTTTCATCTTTGATGAGTGCCACTTCTCACCTCTGATGAGTGCCCCTTTTCTTTTTATACTTGCCCTTTTTTCTTCCTTGTAGGCTAAGTACCCTTTTTCTTTCTGATAAATGATTCTTCTAAAACCTCTGAAAGAAGCCTCTATTAAAATTCATAGACTATGAAATTTTATTTTGTCGAAGGAAAATGGGAACCTGGTTCTTTTTTAAAAAGTGTCCTTTTTCCCTTTGGAAACGTGCCCCCGATTCTTTTCACCATAAAATGTGTTCCTAACTTAAAGCAACTGGTAGCAAATTTTTCTTTAATTTCACCCACAGCTCGCACGCACTTTTAAATTGATATAATTTTGTTTCTTAATTATCAAACATAATTTTAGTCTTTCATGATGAGATTATAATCCTGTATAAATATTGCGATATTTTATGATCTTCAAAATGTTCTTTCCTCGTGGAAATACATAGCGGTTTCTGATATTCTATTTTCACGAAATTGACGTTATTTCCAGATAAATTTTAACAAAACTGAATTTCTTTTGCGGCACCTCAGGGTGTCACGACACCCCGGTTAAAAGAACGCTGGTAAAGGCCATAATAATATTTCCCGACGGACCCTCCATGATCCTTGAATAATGAACCAACTTAACCTAGATATTAGGGGTCCCCCCACTCGATCCGGGAACGGAGGGACTGCATTCATGTTCCCCAAATCTCCGGCAAAGGGGTATTTTTCACGCAACAAAGTCTGGCTCGTAATACACTAAAAATCGGTCGGTATTGACTTTACACACCAGACTTAGGGGGGGGGGGGGGGACATACGTTCACCCTAAATAACACTGAGTGTGGGGGGGCAGTGGTGGATCCAGGGAGGGGCGGAGGGCCCGGTCCCCCTTCCCTTGCCCGAAAAGCATATAATTATAACCTTTGTGAAGAAAAATAAGACGGGCCCCCTCCTCCTGGCTAAAGCAGGAGGGGGTGTTAATTTTTTTTTAAATCACGAACTGCGGGAGGAAAAAATAGTGCTCCTTAACCCCCTCCCCCTGCTTATTCGCCGCTAAATATTCACCACCAATTGGGCCCCGCTCCCTTGCCACCGGCTGGATCCGCCCCTGGGGGGAGGGGTCCTGGGGTTCAGATATACGGATAGAGATGCTATATTAGTAGGTATATAACAAAAGAAAAATACATGCTCTTCCGCTGTCGGATTGAATTTTTGATGAGGGTTTATTATATGCCTTCACAGTTAACAGTTGTTTTAGTAGAATGTCTTATATTACGTTTGTTTGATAAATTCCTGCCAAGCCAGTGAAAGTGTCTCCACAAGGACCCTAGACTTTAGAAACCTCCTGGGTGGGAAAAACTAGTAATAAATAGATAAATAAATTTAATTCTAAAAAAAAAAAGGTGTGTGTGTGTGGGGGGGGGAAATCTATTTCTTTTTATCATGTTTGATGAATGTTCAACTACTTACCTCCTGTATTGTATTGTATTTGTCAGCTTTTTGAATTTGATTTGTTCATCATTCTCTAAATTGAGAAATTGGAGGCGGGCCTGGGGTATTCAAGTTTTGACTCTTTACGAATAGAGATGCTTATTAGTAGGTATATAAAGAAGAATAAAAAAACATGCTCTTCCAACTGTCGGATTGAATTTTTGATGAGGGTATATGCCTTCAAAATTAAAAATTGTTTAAGTACGTCTCATGTTCGTTTTATAAATTCCTGCCAAGCCGGTGAAAGTGTCTCCACAAGGACCCTATTCTTTCGAAACCTCCCGGGTGGGAAAAACTAATAAAGAGTATGAAAATTTGATTTAAAAAAAGGCATGTGTGTGTGCATGTAGGGGGGGGGGGGGGGCTAATTCTTTTTATCATGTTTGATGAATGTTCAAACTAATGACCTCCAGCTAATTACTTGTTTCCAGGTTTTCTTAGGAAAACGGCCACCGAACAAAGTTGTAGTTGTAGAAGCACAAGTATGAACCAAACAATTTCAATTTTCAATACTTGTTTAGCCCCAAAGGTTTGTCTATGATCAGGGATGATCAGATGGAATGAATATTGTATTTGTCTTTTTGAATTTGATTTGTTCATCTATACTTTAAATTGAGAAATTTTCTTTCTGTTTCTCATGTGAAAATTCAAGATGTGGCGCCTAAACGTGACGTCACATCGCAAGTTCCTGCCGCGATTTCCCATAAATCACCGCGCTGATCTGTGTGAAAGAAATATATCCGCGATGTCTAGATACTGCTTCTCGGGCAGGACTACGGCACTAGGGCTCCGTTTGGCTGCTTAGAAATGGTCTAATGCCGCCAACCCCGAGCCAGATAAAGGAGCTGCTGCTCAGTGCAATCGACAAAGATGAAAATGTAAGCATTACTTTTTCGTATTTTTAAGACTTTTCCTCTAATTTCGACTTTATTCGCCAGTCTTTCAACTATTCGAGATCGCAATGGTAATCCGCCATAGGCGCCCGCGTGCTGTCCACGATCCATTTTTCGGAAAGAAATTTCGCTGATTTCGGCAAGAATTCATCGCAGGTGCTGCTTGTCAAAAGACCTCACAATATTCAGTTTGTAGCTTGACTTCTGTAGACAAAACTGGTATATATTCCAAATCAGCTGAAGGTAGATTTTCGGTCAAATTTAGCATCGTTTTGAATGTTGTCACGATTTTGTGGAACGACGAGGGTCCATGTACACGGTTAGCTCGCCTGCTGCAGAATGAATTGTTGACCCATTCGGGGCCTATGAGAGGTCTTGCCGAGCGCATGCGCAAGTCAGACAGTATCCCACGTCGGTGAATGCAGTAAGGGGGCTCATTATGCAGCGATATCGGCGAACATCACTGCACAGCCAGCCACCTCGGCATGATCAGCCACAAATGTACCGCAGAGTTGCAGGCGTACACGAAGAGCATATTCCACCCTGTTGTTCCGTGCAGCTAGTGTGATAGGCTCTGCCGCGCTGACTCGTCATGTAGACCTACTGTGCACAAGACTTTGAGTTACCTGGCTGGAGTGGAGGTATTATTGTCAGAGAATGCAGCTTAATAAAAGCGAAATAAGATGAAGAAGAGAATTAGATCTAGAGCCTAGATTCTACCATGATTGTCTTTGACCCTGACTGACTCTGTTGAGTTTCATATTTGTTATGTCTTGAACTATTATGAACTAAAAATAAAATGATCAACATTCAAATCGATGCAATACTGATTGTGTGGCAGTGTGGGCTGAGTGATGTGTGATTTGTGTTTGGGCGACTAGTATTGGGTGTCCTTTCAAAAGATAAGGGGAAAAAGAGAGAAGGTGATGGGATTCCAGTGGCAGTGGTATTTAATTGGAAATCCAACCTTGATAAGAGTAAACAAGTTTATAAAAAGAAAGCTGAAAATATCAGGAGAGCAGACTGGTGAAAGTTTGAACAAAATCGGACAAAAGATAAGAAAGTTATGAATTATTGAAAGTTGTAATTAGATCTAAGTCACTATGACTATGACAAGTAATAGACTGGGAACTTTAAATCGGCTGAATCGTATTGTCACTGATATAGTGCTTGACTTCTTTCTGACTTGTTCCAAAACAAAAAAATGTAGGTCTCAGGAGGGTCTATTCTATAGGACCTATAATGATATTAAGTAGTGCCCTACATGTAGGCGCTTAAGGAGAAGGCACTTTAATAGTTGGGAGAAAAACAGAAGTTAACGATATTTTGTAGTTGTGCAAGACAAATTATGGGAGAGTTGTCTGTGACTACATGTACACCACAATGCACTGACCAAATTGCCAATTTGAGATCGGCATACGTACATGTAGTGATCTGAAGCTTCAAGCATTCATTCTCCCTTGGGGCACTACTTGAAATATAGTATGGGTAGTACATTTATTTTCATTGTACATGTAGGTCCTTTAAAAAGAAAAGAGTAAATCGAAAGACCCCCCTTTAGTCATACATTTTGAACAAAAATACAATTAATTTCTGCTCTTCTCCTATAAGCGCCTTCTCCTGATCCAGGAGCGCTACTCATAATATATCATGGATATCATAGCATTAATATTACTATGGGTCCTCTAAATAGAAAAGACTTTCCTAGTCATACATGTATATCTTCTTAAGCAACAACCTGTGTAGAAAGACCATCCTTTTATGATGTATGAACCAGGGCTCAAATTAATTTTTTGTCCACGGGGGCTCTTCCAAAAAAATAGAGCCCCCGTGAGCCTTCTCACGGGGGCTCTTTTAGTGCTGACGGGGGCTCTTATTTTAATACAAATTTCCATTGAATTGGTTCCCATGAAACTCCAAAATTCCTTGGTATTTTATCATCAAAAATCAGGCGATTTTTTTTGTGCCATTTTAAACCCCTGTTAGTGATGTTTTCCTGGCATCTACTGACATCTACTAATACTGTGTAGGTCTGGACACATGATAACATTTTTCTATGCCCATCACATTTTCACTTGGCAGCCAAGGAGGATGGGGGGGGGGGGGGGGGGAGGTTAAACCACCTAAACCGCATAGATCCGCCCCTGCAACATCTTTGGTCTTCTTCTTTTTCTCAATATTGATTTACTGGTCGAGTTACATTATTTGCTGGTCTTTTAGAATTCCCAGATTTCAGAGGATTCACACTTTTCACAACGAAAAACTTCTCCCGTTTCAGGCCTTGCGCGATCCAGCTCCACCAGATATTGGGCGTCAGCGTGCACACTCCTGACGGCCGCACTAGCTGCACTGCGAGCTTCCGTACGTTGTTTGTATCGGTAATACTCATATAGATGGGAGAGAAAGCGCCATCTAAGTTCCATTTCATTGGTTTAAGGTTTGAAAATTGATACTCAATATTGTGTTAAAATAATATCAACAAACATAATGTTTATTTTATAATTCCACGGGGGCGATTTTTAATTTTGCAATCGCCCCCGTGAGCAACCTGACGGGCGATTACGGAGCTCACGGGGGCGAATCGCCCATCGCCCCCGTGTATTTTGAGCGCTGGTATGAACTATGAAGTATATATTCACTAAGAGGGGGACATTGGAGAGACATGACTTCATGGGCTTTTTGTTTTGGTCAAAAGAAGTATTTCTACAGGGTTCCATGAAGGAATTCAAACAAAGAAATATAGAAGGAAAAAACCTGGATGTGGAGAGTAAATACATGATTTATCACATCAATACCTAGCAACAAATTACAGGGTATTTTGCAGATGCGCTTGGTGACCTGGGAAATTTCATATTATTACAGAGGGTCATGCAGGTATTGCACATAGGGGTCTACTTTGTATTTTTTTAACATGTATTTTTGTTGTGCACTTCAAACTTTTGCAATACATGTATAATGAATTGAATGATATGTTCGATTGGCCAAGCAAATCTGAACATCTTTTCACGAAACAGTCATAAGAACAAGTTTACTGACATCTCATTAAACCATTAAACGTGTGTTTCATTTAATACACATGTTTCAGTGGGTTTTCCGCAGACTCGTACTTATGACGGTAACGTTATCTTGAAACGCTGCCCAGAAGTTTTTTAAATGTTGACAAAGACATCAGGGAAGTTTTAAATTGACTTAGTGACAGAGAGAATATTGGTGCCAACAAGGGCCTTACTATGAAAATGACCTTCCCTGAAATTCACTTTTTTTTTTCTCTTGGAAATACATGTACACTGTATTAATTGCTTTCAATAAGCATTTGTCATCTCTGTTGTATATTCTTTATCTACAGGTTTCACTGTTGTACCTTTCAGCTAGTGGTGAACCAGGTAAACCTTTTTCTATCTTATACAAAAAGAAAAACTAAATCTTTCCTCCTTCTTCTTATCCATCTTTCATGCAGATTGTTGACATGGGCAGTGTTACAAAAGCAGTCTCTCTTCTGGAGAGCAATCCAATCACCAAAGATGCTCTTGAGGTAAGTTTCTCTGACTCTTCAACAACGGAATGCCACTTGCTGTCAGCCAGCATTGTGAAGTGTCATGCTTCTTAGAATAGTATCAGAAGAAATTTTGTACCCCTTTCCCTTTTCACTTCAGATCATTCTTTAATCTTTGTCACAATGCTGATGGACTGAGTTTCAAGTAGGATGTGATTCTGAAATCCCTTTGAGTGAAAGTTCAGAAGGTCTTTGAAGTATGTACACTGTAGGTAGAATTTTGAGATCCTAGGAATACTTTCAGAATGAGTGAACCGACACTGGTGCCACATATATTGAAATAATTATTAAAAAATAAAAATAAAAATAAATGTCCATATGCATACGCAATCACAAAGAGCTGTACTTTTTTGAACCAATTTTTTATAGGTGGACCCCATTATTTGATAGGAAAAAAGTAAGTGTAATATTGGCTGTTGCAATATGCTGCAAAACATTTCTCTGCTCAGATGCAGTTACTTGAATAGATTTGCTTATGTAAATGGACATTTTATCTGTTGGTTGAATCTGGATTTTGAGCATTTTTTTCTACCGAAGGTGGTGCCCAGGTTTGTCTGATTGTCCATCTCGCTTCTCATTGTTCCTATATATCAATTCATATTTCATATGGTTATTGTTTTTTTTTAATTTTTTAAATTTTCGATATACATTATCTCACTAAACGTTTGTTTTACCTTTTTTTTACCCCATATTTGTCACGATCTTCAGGAAACCAGACTCGGGAGGCTTGTCCAAATTGTGCGTAAGAAGGCTACAACCAGTAACCTCAAGAAGCGATGCACAGCCTTGATAAAACAATGGCAGTCTCAGTTCCTGCCCCCGAGCGCAGTCAAACCTCCAAGGACTGAGTCCCCTGTACCTCATCAAGAGGAGGTCAAAGGTCAGGAAGGGTCATCGACCTCCGATGGACAGAAACCAAAGCCTGCAAAGCAGACAGTAAATGCCACCTCTGTTGATAAGAGTAAAAGTGAAAATCTTCGAAGGAGAAAAAGGCAGCCGGAAAACTCACCATCAATATCTCCTTCATCCCAGGCTCCCCCTTCTAAAAAATTAATATCATCATCTCAAGGGCAATCCCCATTATTACAAGGCGAGGGAAATGGACAAGATGACTCTGGTCTTAATGGGATGTCCTCGAAAAGGGATGTTGACTGTGGTAGAAAACTTATCAAAGATTCAGTAAAAACTGCTTCTCCAAAGTCCAGTGTTCCTTCGCCTAAATCTAAACCCAACATTAACAAAGACAAAGGTTCATTAAAGAAGTTAAAATCAGAAAGATCAGCATCTCCCAAACCTAAGAAAAAGGACTCGTCATTAAATTCAGTATCTCCTGCACTGCAGCCCAAAGCAGAGAAACATTTGAAACCCAAAGGATTATCACCTAGTGTTGCCAAGGCAAAGTCTGATAAACGAGTCAAGGTTTCACCAGCACCTCGTGTTGCCATCGGTAAGAAAAGGAGTTCTTCCCATGATCGATCGCCTAGACCCTCCAACGATTCGTCTGCTTCCAATTCACCAGCTGTTGTGGGTGGAACCTCTCTGAAATCCACCGGTACTTTCTCAACGGACTGGGACACTGCCGGTTTCGGCTTTGGGGATAGCGGTGGGGAATCCTCTCGGAGTGCTACACCCCAGAATGTGTGCGACGCCCCTAGTTCTTCAAAGCCTTTCTCTATTTTTGATTTAGATTTCACCGATGCTGTTTCATCTCAAGTGTCAAACACCAGCCTGTTTGACAGGTCAGAGTCACCTGCAAGCTTTCTAGATGAGCGACCCTTTACACCAACAATAAGTGCATTTTCTGAAGAATTTTCTCAGAGGACAGAGTATAGTCATTCTCCTTCTGCTTCAAAGGAAGAGGAGGATGAAGCGGAGGAGGGGGAGGAGGAGGAGGAGGAGGAGGAGACATCAGTAAATGTGATGGAGACCCTTGAAGATGAACCTGTGACTCCTCCATGCCCGGTGCTGGAGGGGGATATAGATCGCATTCATGATGACGAGTGGGAGGGGGTGAATGGTTGCTATAATGATAAAGGCGAATGGTTTGACTGGATGCAGTGCCTGACTGTAAATACAGATGTGGAAAATTCTATACAAATTCTACCCTATGTATGTATTGATTAGGAAAATATGAACATGCTCACTGTAAGTTATTTTTTATGTGAATGCTTGAATTGAAAGAGTGAACCATCATAACATGTATTTTTCTCTTGTTGTTTTCCTATTTTTTACAGATACTTTCTCGGTGCAAATATGATGTAGTAAAAGTAAATTTATTTCATAAGTTTATATTGAACGGAAGAGACAGGCATGAATTTTCATGTACATGTATGCATTGGAACTGTTTAAAATTTAACGCTGAGCAAGTTCCTTTAATTTGACGTAAAAATTACCATGAATTTTTTTCTGTTACCTAATATTGAAAATTGTGGTCAGGCAGAATATTAGAAATCTTCGTAGATAGTAGAAGTCGAGTACATCATATTGCTAAAGAGGTAACATCTGTAAAACAGGGTTAGAACTAAGAAGATTTTCTATGGGCCATTATTTGAGCAGAAATAATTAACTATTGCATTGTAATCAATGTCTAAAAATGGGGTAGTTTTGTTTTGGGTCTAATTTCTTTAAAAGCTCTGCTCATGCATGCATGGGTAATGCATGCATAATTACAATTGTTAAAGCCCTTAACATCAGGGTGGACTTCCGTTTTAACGCTTTAATAGGCTATTAAAGCCTTAAAAGGGAAGTCCACCCTGATATTAAATTGGTTTTAATAGTCCAAGTAAAACAATGAGAGGAACAGGTCAGTGAAATTTGAGCAAAATCAGGTTAAAAATAAGAAAGTTGTGATTTTTGTAAGTTGTCATCAGTGAAACACACATTAGAAACTAGGAAGACTGGCGTATCTTGCGAGGTCCTCTCCAATTTGCTCAGTACAGAAATTTCATAATTTTTCATTTATAGCTCACCTGAGCCAAATGAGCTATTGCAATCTTTTTTGTTTGTTGTCCGGTTACCCTAAACTTTTAACATTTTTAATTTCTCAAAAAATGCTTAACCAGATTTTAACCAAAGGGGGCTTGGAGTAGCCTTCAATATCCACCATCCAAACAGCAATACGAGCACAGGAAACTTACAAATGATGAAATATTTAGAATTTTCTTATTTTTAATAAGATTTTGCTACAACTTTCATTGACCTGTTCTGTTCCTATCATTTTGTAATGCTTAGTATCAAACCAACTTAATACCAGGATGGACTTGCCCGTTAAAGGAGATGCTATTATCTCCTATTTCAAAGAATCATTTTGGCATTTGTTGTGTACATGTGTAGGTGATATGCATTTAGCTCAAAAGTATGTTAATGACGGTCTTGCCTTTAGCGGTACGAAAACAAACACATGGCAAAATAGTCTGTAGAAAGTGCTACAGTGTTACTTTGGGCATGACATTGAAAAGGTTGCATGAGTACAATTTTGTTGTTGTTACGATTCCAAGCTCTGGTTTATAATCGCTTTCTAATCATATTTAATGTGCCATTGGTTTGTAAGCTCTGCCTTACGCTTCATGTAAGTTGGGTTTCACAAAAGGAGTTAAAAGTTATGTACAATGTATACAGTGTACACTCTTAAATCAGATTAAACAAAACAAATTATACACATGTAAGCATTCTCTTGTTAAACATGACTTCCATGTAGCTTAGAAACATTGTGGGGTTTAACTTTGGTTTCGATCAGTGTTTTGTTCTTATGTCTTTGCTGGGAATTATGTCATTGGAACAGAAAGACCACTGCAACTTTCTTAACATTGAATCACTTAGAAAACAGAAATTTAAAAAAATGAAATATAAAGATTCATCCAATAATATGTGCCAAAGTTTACTTTTCATAAGTTTTGATGAGTTCTTAAGTAGAAAGAATATGTAAGAGGATAATTGTGGGTCTTTATTCTCATTGTTCATATGCAGGTCTACTTATATTTTATCAACCAAATAAACAGATTGTTATGATAGAATAATATTTTATATATTTAGATGTCGGCTCAAAAGTTTATGTTCTAAAATGTCAATTTGTAGAACCAGATTTAAAACCTCTCTAGTATACATGTAGGTCATATACTGTTTGTGTCCATTATCAGCTACCGTATGTAAAATTGTAAACTGAGACAAATGCAATATATTATTATGATGGTGATCAAATGTGGAACATGTTTAAGTAGGAGAGACAGTTTGTTTCAATTTAAGGAAAATTGTGGTAAATATTGCGTACTTAAGAATTTTCATGAGAATAGGAATGGTGGAATGAAGTCAAACAACAGATGTTAGAATGCTGATATATATATATATATAGTAAGGCTTGTACATGATAGTAGAGAGATATATATTATCTTGGATGTCTTATGAAAGCCAATATGACTGCTAACAATGATGCAAAATATGAATTTTCTTTTCTTGATTTAGAATTGACTAAACACATGATTAATGTAGAAATATTTTTTTTTGATCATGTAAGATCTGATAACACATCCCTCATCCGTTCCGACTTGTTCTCATTATTTATTTTTGTAAGGATACTGTACTTGACTTTGAAAAGTATTTTGTTAGTTTGTTAAACAAAAGAGGTATTTTTGTACTTTTGTGTGTGCATACTTTAAATTGTGTATTAGGTTGGCAAGAGCTAATATGTGCAGGTTCCACAAGGCCGCTGTTAAAAGGAAAAATCAAACCATTGATCTTTTGAAAGTGGCAAGTTGCCGCAAGTACAATCATATGGAGATCAAAATAACGTTGTGAAGTAATACCTTTCTGTGATACATCTTTCCCTCGCCAATAACATTTGCAATAAAATGGGTGCAGTAATATATCACAAATTCTGTGAGTTTATATACGCAAAAATCTAAGATGTCACGACTTGTATCCCCCTTTTTTGTTATTGGGGTGGGGTGGTGGGCTAGTTAAAAGATATTCTGAAACAATATTTGCAAATAAATTTTATAAATTCTATTGTTCTGAAGTGATTTACTAGGCATGAGAAATTCACTAGTATCCAAAATACATAAGCATACCCCCCCCCCTCCCCACACCCTTGCTGTGTATACATACAGCTAATATGAAGTCTGAACTCGCAAGTTGTGATTAAAGGGGAAATGTAAGAAAGGCTTCACGATTGCTGTGTTTGTTGGAGAAAAACAGGTTTATTTCCACATGTTGAGTTGATGCCAAATATCTTCAATAATTAAATTCCTAATATAAAATACATTCCTGTCGATGTGATAATGCAGTAGACATTTAGTGGAATAGGAAATCAGATATAATGCTAGAATGATTTGAAATGTCTAATGATGATATTAATCAAATGAAACATTTTTGTACTTTTGTATATTTATTGGTTTGCAATATAGGTCTCAACGTCCCTCTTTAGTTATAGGATGCCAAGGGAAAGAGGAAACCTTAAAAAAAATAAAAAATAAAAACACCTGACAAATATAATAAGTGCATTAATTTTTGTGAAATTAGTACAATTTAAAGTTTCGACAAATTATGTATTCAGTTTGTGTAAGCATTAAACTGTCTTAAAGTCTAAACAAGGTTTTGAAGGAGAAGATCAACAAATTTGTTTAAAGATAAATGAGAATAAAAAGTTGATTTTCTATTTTCTTCAAGGACAACATACATTTTGAAATAGAAAATACAGTATATTTACTGGTCTTATTGAATACTATATCTCACAGAGGCTAATGTATTATTGCAAGGGACACACATGGTAGTACATATACATGTAAAATTTAAATGGGTGAAATTATTTTGGTGACTTTGGTCAAAATGACTAAGGTCTTATGGGGGGGGGCACTTTTTCTCCCCTATCATCATATGTGGAATATTATACAAGTATAATAACTAACATCATATATATTCCACTTCCAGTAAATGATTTTTCGTAAAAATTTCATATCCCCTTTGATAATATAATTAAGGTCGGTATCTATTCAGTCTTGCAACATTGTTGTCTTTAAACAAACAAATAATTGACGATGAAAAAGTAATGTCTGAAAGTTTGGAAATATCTGTATCTTTAATGAAATGCACTCATTTGTTTTCCCTTCGAAAATAAGCAATATATGTTACTTTGTTTGTGCCTTCTTTAGATTAATTTTCCTCATGAGAAAAGAGGAATGCCACATATGTAACTAGTTTTAATTACATGTATTTTTTTCATAGAATGAAATGTGTTCATTCAACATTTCTTCATTATTTGCATGTTATGATTATCATTTTTCAATTTTTCAATTTTAGTGAAAAAAGGAGCAACAAACCTGAATGTTGCATGTGTAATGAATGTGTGAAATGGATTCATGTGAATGGTACCCTTATGACAAAATATGGCTCTAAAGAGCGTTATTTCTAATCATTTTGATTTTGGATCTTCATTTTGAGAAAAAAATTAAAAGAGTAAAAAATACAACAAAAACAATGCCTGCTGTTTCAGACTCTTGTGCTAAATTTTTGTTTTTTCTTTTACTTCAGTTGAATCTTTTCTATATTTTAAGCCCCCCCCCCCCCCCCCCCCCCCCCCCCCCAATCCCCACTTAGCTGTGTATATAGTGGAATTAGATGAGGTCAGAAATTTTGGAAGTAAACACAAGGGGCCTCTTGATTAAATAATGTAAGTTGTGGATTTAGGGTGGGGGGGGGGCTGTCCTATTACTCCATACAGGAGGGGCGATGACACAGTAGTAAACCAGTGGTCTTGTAATATGAAGGTCCATGATTTTGAAATGCCACGGATGGGTTAAAGTGCTATTACCCTTTGGTGAGACTAAGGTAATTTTATCATTCCATGGACATTCTCGCTCACCTCCCTGCAAAAATTAGAAGGGGGGGGGCTGGTGGTGGTGGAGCTTGTGATTATTTTAACCTGCAGATCTTTTACTACCTACACCGCCCCCCCCCCCCCCCCCCCCCCATGAAATTATAAGTTATGAAAGTAAACATGAGTTTGAGAGATAAAGACAGTGAAAGAAACGGACAGAGACTGATTTGCATGTGCTGTTCATGTACAGGCTAGGCTGGAACTAACTGTGCATGTTGTATACATGCATGGCGTCATATGGGCAACAGATGGCAGTATTGAACCTGACGTCACGTTAATGGCGGAGAGCGTGTGTTTCTGAGCTGAGAATCCCCTTGTCGAGACAAACTTTTTTCTCTCATAATTAGAGTATAAATCACATATTTACCCTGTTTTAATATCAGGGAGGCCACCACCATGCTAATAGTACTGAAAACGTTACAACAGCAGACTTTCCGTGTGGAAATAGAGGACAGTGCAACGGTAAGTTAGTCTCGATCATTCCATTGACATGTCCATTGTCATCGGGCTGTGTCATCTCCCGAATTATTTTGTTTCTATTTCACTAGCTAGGCCTAGACCCTAGTCTAGTCCTAAACCACATGCTCAATGACTGTATGAATATTAACAAATTGGAGTGAATTTCATATAGTGTAATTGATATGTTAACTGTTATTGTTGAAATGAAGGCCATGATATTATTCCTTTTCATTATGACTGAGACTTTGTTCTGAGTGATAGGCCCCTATTGATAATTATTTTTGTTCAACAATGGCAATGCAAATGCAATGGTATTGATTAGAAAAAGGCTAACTAAAGAAAATTAAAAGAGTTAGAATTGGGCCTAGCCAGGTGGTCACAACTCTCATTTCAATGATAATAAATAAGGTTTAGATCTAGTCTAGGCTACTTTGAGTTTGAATCATCGGATCAGGTCATCCCGTATTCCCGTTAGGTTGGGTGGTCGCATTACTGTGATATGTAGTACTAGTGATATGGCCCTTTATTTTTATTCACAAAATGTAGGGCCACCGGCTCGGCCAGGGGTAATGTTTGTGAAATAGTTGTGATCTACAACAAACGGTCTAGTCCAATTTACAGTAGGGGCGCTGGTCCGAGAATAAAGATCGTCCCCATAAAAGGATATCTTCGTAAACGAGAACATCGCTTCCTAAAAAATAAGGATTGTACTAATTTTTGCAGACGTCTTTTTTCTTTGGTGCTCTACAGTTGTACAGTTGTACAATCTGCAGATTTCTCTTAAAATACCCCTAGGTCTAGTTCACCGTCTACTTTCACGAGTTGTCCATCTTCAAGAGTATTTATCGTTCATAGACTCTAATGTGAAAGTCTCTGTTTATACTATAGTGCATCATGGAGCATCATCAAGGAAGCCGTTTTTCGCATTGCCAAGGCGGGGATTGGTAACCCTAGAAAAGCTATAGACGTCTGCGCAAATGTGGACGATCCTTTTTTTTTAGGACGCGATTTGTCAGCGTTTACGAAGATATCCTCATTTATACGGACGATCCTTATTCTCAGACCAGCGCCCCTACTGATTTACCACTGTCTGTAATACCAGACACTTTGTGAAAGCCCTACAGCAAATCTATGAAAGGTTGCGTGATCTTCCAATTTCGTTTCACAAAAGGTCATGTAACTAATCAATCACCTGACCGGACCCAATGAATCACCTGACCGGACCCAATGACCCGATGATTCGAGGTAGTCCACAAATAATGGAGAACCAGAGCCTCCGAGTGCGACGGCGAGGCTATGCATAATGCAGCTATATTGAAGAGTTTGAATTAAAACTGTATGAATATTAACAAATTGGAGTGAATACAATAACAGTATTTATTCTCTTGTCTTGTCTTTCCCTTGACACCCACAATAAAAGGAGGTGATTTTTAATATGGCCCGTTGAGGTATACTGTAGTGTAGACAGAAATAACCGCATGGTATGGCCACTAGTCTATGAATTCTTTAGTAAATCTAATTTGTCCGTCCTTCCTCATACACAGACAGTAACCCATGCCGCACACACAAGGGGGGGGGGGATTAGCTAGCTTATTTTTTCGACGGAACCTGGCGAAAAGTGTGCCCTTGGGTTTTTCTCTATCAAGACTTAAAAACAGTTTGATGAAGAGAAACTGATGATTGTCCTGACTCCTTGGGAAGGAAATATATCTAAATTTTCGTACCCAGAGGCCAATCGTTGTCCGGACGGGTCGTGTATCCGGACAATTGATTTCAAACATTTATTTGAAGAAGTTTACAATCAATATTTCAGAAATCTTCTAAGGCTTATGTTTGGAAACATGATGATTAGTGCTACATATTTGATGAATATATTTCGTTAAATCCAAAGGTAAAAGAGAAGGTTTTATGTTTGTTTAGTGTCCGGGCACCCAACCCCCATCATAGTCATACTACAAAAATAAATAAATAAATATTGTTAAACATCACAATATATTATAGAGACTCACTTTCTGTCCGTTTTCTTGAAGCTACTGCACTCAAATAGATCGACAATCACACACACACAAACTACATTGCGTAATCTCCCCTCACTAACCCGTACATGTACTTCAATCTCTGTATAGAGGCGGTCAGTGGAGCCAGTCAGTGTAACGAGCGTCATTATCTGAGACGGATGCTTTCGTTTTAGTTGATGTGTAAACCTACCGGTAGGCTATTTACATGTCCTGCATTGCCCTTTCATAACATACTTTTTGTATGATGGGGCCCATATTTCTGCCCACCTAAAATGTCACTTGAAATTGACAAGAATTTTTCATGGTATTCCCCCAATGCCTGATCTCATCTTAATCCTTATATTCTAGAAAGGAAGTATGCTGAAAATCTTATGTTCTTCTGGGTAGTAGGGTCCCAAACGCAGGGGGTGTACTCAAGTACCGGTATTACATATGCTTCATATGCTCTCTCCTTGATGGTTCTTGATGGTTCTGGAGCTAACTTTCAGGTTTCTTTGAAGAAAGCCCAAGGTCTTGCTGCCTTTGCTGCAAATGTTGTTGATATGTGTAAGGCGTTGGATACCTTGTTTGCGGTGACTGAATCATCAGAAAAACAGCGTGCCTGTTAACTGCTTAGTAGCAAATCATTGATATATGCTAGGAACAGGCATGGCCCCAGAACAGAACCCTGTGGGACACCTGATCTCACATGGATGAAGGATGACCTCTTACCATTCACTATAACTACATGTACCTTGGCCCAAATTCACAAAGGAGGTTTGTCGACAAACCTTTTGTTACGACAAACCTCCTTTTGTTATTTACAAACCAGGTTTGTAAAAAACGTGTCAAAACGCGTCATATGACGTACATAAACCTTGGTTTGTCGACAAACCTCCTTTGTGAATTCGGGCCATTGTGTCTGTCAAAGAGGAAGCTGGAGATGCACAAAATGGTGGCACCATGGAAGCCATAGCATTGGAGCTTGTGAAGCAGTAAGCTATGGTCCACCTGGGGGGCGTTTCACAAAACTTGTCATCAGTGACAAATGACAGTTTTTGTTATAAGCTACTAAAATCCTTGCTTCTGATTGGTTATCAGCAGATTTGTCACTGATTTTTGTCATTTGTCATTGAAAAAAGGCTTTGTGAAACGGGCAAAGTCCATTATCAGGATATCTGTCTGTTTCCCAGTCTCGAGGCGATGAGTTAGTTACTCCTTGAGCTCCAGCAGTTGAGTGTCACAGGAACCATGGAACTCATGTTGGTTTTCTTCTAACACATCATGTGAACCAAAGTGGTCCATGACTTTGGTGACTATTATGTGTTCCATGATCTTGCAGGATACACATGTAAGAGAAACTGGTCCATAGTTACCAGGGTGATAATGTTCTCCTTTTTAGAAGATCAGTGTCACATGAACATCTCTCTGGTCTGTACTATGCCTCTTGCAAGGGATGACTGGAAGATAGTGGTCAGGGCAGGGGCCAGCTGTTTTGAAAGTTCTTTCAGCAACCTTGAACTTCAACCATCTAGACCACATGCATTATAGGGGCTGAGGTTCACCATTAGTTTCTTCGCACACTGTACAGATATCACAATATTGTCCATGGTGGGGGTACTCGATTCTTTCATTGACGTCTTCCGCCGTGTAATTCTTGCAATCTCCAAAATCTGACTTGAACCGATGGTTAAAAAAAATCCTCTGTCTGTTCTTTGGGGTGAGAGGTTAGGTAAACATATTTCTACAGCAGTGCAACCTCTAAATTGGTTGACCTCTTGTTTTTATGCCTCTGTTACGAAGTAGCCGGGGGCATTATGTTTTCGGGTTGTCTGTCCGTACGTCCCGTTCTCGAGATGGCGTTATCTCAAGAACCAATGGATGGTTGATGTGGTTCTTCCATTCATTCGTATTTTGATATTGCATGTACTTTTATCTTCCTCTCACTCCCTCATTCCTTTTTTCTATTCGAACTTGCTTCTTTTCAAATTTCCTTTTCTCTTCTTCAGTTCTGGCCTTTCCTCTTTATTCTTTATTTTACTCCCATTCCCTCTCTCTCAGCTCTATGTCTGTCTCTCTGTCTCTCTCTCTGTCTCTCTCTGCCTCTTCCTCTTACTCCCTTCATCTCTTCTTCCTCCTCTCTGTTTCTCTCTCTCACTTTCTGTCTCTCCCTCCTCTTCTCCACCTCATTCTCTTCTGATGATGTTTTACAGTACAACATTCTTTAATTATCTGCTATTCTTACTGTAACCAATAATACCTAAGGAATTCCATTGTTCTCATGTGCAATATGTTTATACATTATACTGTACTCATATCACGCTTGTGATTAGCACACTGCCAAGACTCCAATTGTAATACTTTTTAATACTTTTTAATACTTTTTAATACTCAATACTCAATACTCAATACTCAATACTCAATACTTAATTACAATTTTTCCAATGTTACAGTTAATTGAATTCAAGTATCTGTATACATTTTATTTGTTTATATGTCAACATTTATTCATTTTTGCTAGCAATATTTCATATCTTGTATTTTTTTTTAAAATCTTTTTTTGTTTTGTTTTGTTTTTGTTTTTTTGTTGTTACTACTTTAATGTTTTAACTTAAAAATGTATTCATTGTTATATATTTGTCCTCATTTGCTATGTTATCTTTATGTTTTTGAATGCTTTTTATATTGATGTAAACTTGCATTTTTAGTCTTCGGACTTGTTGACAAGTAATGAATAAAACCTTATTTGAACTTGAACTTGAACTTGAACTATGTATGTCGACTCTTTGTCGAGAAGTGCTTTTTCTTTCCAGTTTGTTCTGAGAAGTTATCATACAATGCAAAGTTGATTATCAAGTTAATGTATTTAAATTTATGGATGCTTCCTTCCCAGGTGTTTGTCATGAAAAAGGATATATCATTCACCTGTTTTTGTCCTTTGTACTACAAATGTCAGAACGCAAATTGCATAAATAAGTTGGTGCTCTTCAGGGGGTCAAAGTTTCAAATAAACGAAATAGATTTGTCAACTACTCTATTTGATTATTTTTTAATCAACAAGTTACAATTATTCCCCTTTTATATATTTTTCATCACTTGTAATGTTTTACCTTCTCGTCTATGATTTTCCCTCATTGGAAAGTAAAAATTTTGTTATTGACTTAAAAAGGTCTTTCCAACTAAAGCTTGGTGCATGATACATATGTACAAGCTTGCCTGGTACATCACATTATCAAGAAAATGGCTGTAGCTCTCAATTTGTTCTCTACTGAAATGGTGAAAATAGAACTTTCCTTGGTTTTTTTTAAAGATATGAGCTTTATTTCAACTATTTTTTTTTTTTTTTTTTTTTTGGGGGGGGGGGGGGGAGGCAAGTTTGGGGCAAGTAAAAATGAATGTGATAGATACACTGTACATGTATGTACACTGTACATGCAAGGTCAAGTTTAGAGAGAATAATGAATGCATGTGTAATGTATTGTACAAAACAAGTGGATAACCCCTTACAAGGGGTAAACCTGAAATTTGTGTACCGGTATGCTCATTCTGGGACAACTTTAAATAATCATTAACATCTTTCAGATTTTCCTTAGAATTGAAGTTTGCCACTTCATCTGCTGCTTTTCCAACTTGTTGCCACAATGTATTTTCCCTAAAGTTCTATGTCTGCTAAATTAGCACCATTAGTAGTATTACGCGGAATATGGGCTTTACAAATTTTAAACTATTTAATTTATCCTTTATTAATGTTTCTCATTCCGGCTCTTGCAGCACAAAAAAACTAAACCTTGCTGGGTTGGCAAGGGTCCCCCCAAGAAATAGAAACCTCTTGTAAATACTAGTATTGAATATAAAAAGCGTTTACCTTTTTGGCCCAGGGTAAAGTCTTATCATTTCCATTTTTTTAATGTACAGGACAGTTTAATTGAATCAATCAATTTTGTGTTAGTTAATGCATGTGTGCCTGAGTCTGATATTACCCAGCGGTATAATAGTTTCACATATTGCTCTTGTCACTTTGGCAACCTTGAGCTGGCTTTAAAGAGCGATTAAAAACCTCAGATATGACCAATGCAAGGCCAGAGCAAGAACGAGTTGGCGCAAGGTTGCTTGCAAAATCTGCTGAGTCTTACTCATGCAGCCTGAAAGGAGGGAACGCAATGAGTTGGCGTCTTCCCTTCCCCCTCAACTCTTGTTTCAATCATGTGAGTTTGTCGAATGTCAATGCTACACTCATGTTCAAAATAATAAAAGGGTCGGAATTATCTTTTGATTACTCTTCGTTTTAAATTTCCACTGTAGTTGTAACATTCACAACTGCACACAGTCGCACTTCTGTAAAAGGAGTATGTGTCACATGTGTGCACCGTAGTGACATTGTAACAGCTCTGTTTCTTTGTGAGTTTGAAAGGTTTAACGCATGACATACCGGTACCTTTTCTAAGTGTCAATTTCCATGTACATAGCTTGATTCATTACCGGTACATCCAAAATTGTGATTGCTATCTCCGTTATAACTAACAAACATGTTCATATCTCTCCTCATTTGTTTTGTTTTGTTTTGACTACAGGTTAGGAATCTCAAAGATGAAATTGAAAAGACACAAGGGAAAGACTTCCCTGCCTCTGGGCAAAAGTTAATTTATGCAGGTAAGAAAATCTTAGAACTTTGTATTTCATTTTAGATTTAGTTGCCATTTACGAAAACTTGCTTTAATAGAATTGTGTTAAAGCAAGGAGCTTAGACATAGGGCGAATCAACAATTTCTTTACAAGCGAACTATTACACAACGAGCAAGATAATGATCAAGATCAGAGTGCCGCTTGATGTATTTCGCAGCTGTTTTGCTCCAGGAGATAGCTGACTCACTCTTTGAAGACGTAGGTTTCAAGCGTCGCTAAACCTTGGTAGAGAACAATTTTTTTTCTTCAAACATACTCTCAACCCCGGTATGGATGCTCAAGATTATTTACACAGCCCCAAAAACATTGTTTTTTGAACTACTGGGAAAAAACAGTTGTTTGCTCGTTCCGTTTTTGTTAAAAATTAGTGGTGAGCATGTGCAACTTGTGGCTGCTTTGCGTGCGATCGCACAGATGTTTTGAGAGCGAGCATTTACTCTGCAAAAATCTGTGAAATTTCTGCCAACATTTAAAAAAAAACACTCAGGGGTGGGTTATTCGTCTTGTTTACTGTTAGTTGCCAAGCAACTTCTGACAAAACAATAGAATATGAGAAAAATCAACCTGTTCTTTCTGACTAATCACATGGTAAATTCTTCATCACACTTTGGCGTCAAACTAATATAACTTATACCTCAATCCCACCCCCAAACCGATTCCAAACTGACTGATTGTTGGTCATTCAGGGTAATGTTATCTCTTGTTTGGTCTGTTGTCAGTCTAATAAAGGAGGTGCAATAGCTCAGTTGGTAGAGCAGTGGTCTTGTAATCCGGCGACCCGGGTTAGACACCAAGGCGATGCGCTAGTGCCCTTTGGTAAGGCATTAATCCTCATTACCAGGTCTTTCAGAGAGGACCTAAAGCCATCGGTCCTCTGGTTGCTTACTAACAAGCATTTATTCTTTCTTAGCAGTCAGGTAAAATAACCACCACCACCATCACATGTTGGTTTTGTTGGTGTAACTTTGGTACTATGTAACAACTGCAGGTTTTTACCTTTGGTGTAATTTTTTTACCACCACAAAAGTTGCCCTTAACCTTTGCTTGTACAATAATATTTTCTCTGTATTACACTTATAGCATGAATATCATCATAGGTCATCTCAGTGATGACTGAGTACACAATGCTAATTCATATTAATGAAATGTATTTCACATACATGTATCAATGGGACCTCTTATGTATTACATTTTACATTTGTGATGGTCAGAATTTGTTGAACAAACCATCTCTTTTAATGTTATCTTATCTATTTCTATTTATCCAGGTAAAATCTTAAGTGATGACAACCCTTTATCGTCTTACAATATAGATGAAAAAAGCTTTGTTGTAGTCATGGTTACAAAGGTGAGTCCAAACTTTTCGTTTCTTTCTTGTTTATAGAGAAGGAAAGCTAAGCTTTGTTATATGTTACTAGATAGTCACGTGATACAGTGTTTACCTCACTTTTTCACTTGAGAAATAAAAGATAATGTTTTCATTCTTGGGGGCTACCAGATTTTTCGTTCTTAAAATAAATTTGAAATTGTTTCCACAAAATGCTTGGGGAGGAGATGGTCCTACTCCTAGGGGGCTACCAAATCCAATGGCTTACTTGCATTTTAATTTTACTACATTTTGGTATGATACAATTTTAGCTTTTTTATTATTATTATGATTTAATTTTATTTGAATTGGGTTGAAATTTATATTCCTACTAAGTATTAACCTTAACTGTTTTTTATATACCAATAATACCGGTAGTGCCTTACAAGTGATAACATAACAGACAAAGAGTTATTACAGTACTATTACCCTGGTCGCTGGATTCAATTATAGTTCAGTATATGAATGATGTCGAGTTAGCATCTAAATGATCCATATCCCTTATAAATTTGATGTATTTTTTGTTTTTTTGTAACTCAAGAATAGACGGTGGACTGGTTAAAATAGGGCCTTTGTTGAATACTTCTAGATGTAAGCTTTAATGTGTCACATTCTCAAGAAACTAACAACAGGACAAACCAATTTTTCACATACAGGTACTTGAGAAATTACTAAACTTGGTAAGGGGTATGAATAATTTATTTGTTAACTGCATACTTGTACAGAGGCTGCAAACAGAAGAAAAAAAAGAAGAGAAGAAGGAGGAGGCCAAACCACAGGAGACTGCTGCAGCAGCCAGTGCATCAGCCAGTAGTGCCCCTGTGGCTATGGAAGAGGGCACAACCAAAGCAGCTGAGGAGAAGAAAACAGAAGAGAAGGCAGCAGAACCAGCAGCTGAAACAAAAACACAAGAGGAGAGTTCAAGTGGACTGTAAGTTTGCCATGCCTAAACCGATGACATCTTCATGGAATTATCTTCTCGGGGGTGTTTCACAAAACTTGTCATCAGTGACAAATGAGAGTTTCTGTTATAAGCTACTGAAATCCTTGCCTCTGATTGGTTATCAGCAGATTTGTCACTGATTTTTTTTGTCATATGTCATTGAAAAAAGGCTTTGTGAAACACCCCCCTGTTCTGTGAAATGTAATATAAGTTGTTTGTGGGCTAATATAAAAACAGTTTACCCAGATGAAGTAATTTAGGAAACTACGACAATTGGTTAATCCATTCCAGAGGACTTGACCTCAATACCTCACACTTTTTTGTCCTCAGGTAGTTTTAAAGAATGTAATATGTTGTAGTGGGTCTTGGGTCTTGGCTCATCAGTGCGACTGGGATATTATAAGAACTACCCCACTAATTGGGTGTTGCAAGAAAGTTGCAATCAATTGCAAATCCCCAAAATTAAGCGTAGGTCTTGCGATTATTTGCAAATTTGCAACTCCCCATGCAACGCCCCATTAGTAAGAGAAAGAGATAGAGAAAGGGGGAGAATAAAAGCTAGATCTAGTTTATACTATATTTAAAGATAAACTTTAGTACTGGTAATGCGATTGCATTGTGAAAGAAAAGGTGTAGAAAGGATCGGAAACAGTTGATCATGTAGCATGTAAGTATTGGTGTGCACTGCAAGGTTCTGGAGTCATCAAAATCATAATAAATTTGACCGAGTCTTGGTAAAGTAACAAGCACTCACATAGAAAGCTATATATGGGACAACACACATGGTGTCGGGGCTAGTACTACCTTGATTTCCTTGTCTTTCTATGCTCATTACTCAGCCAGTATACATTTTCTTCCAAAATTGTTTGGCACATGTCATTTATTTGTAATCTTGAACATTCAGTGTAAGTTTCGTTTGATTCTGTGAGAATTTTTTTTTTTTTTTTTACCAGTACTGGAGTTTATCTTTAATTGTTAAAAACTTTAATCCTAACAAAATCCTAGGAAATTTAGGAGACTAGTGGGGCATTGCAAGAAAGTTGAGTTGCAATCGATTGCAAATATCAGTAATTTGTCGCAACTTGCAATCAATCGCAACTTTCTTGCAATGCCCCATTAGTGTTACTGCTAACCCCCTACTTTATCGCCTCTCTGTGAAAACCTTCAAGGAACACCTTTCTCTCTTTTGTGACAGTCAAGCCTTCCACAGCGCAGAATCCACCCTGGTGACGGGCGAGGAGTACCAGAACATGGTCACCGAGTTGATGAGTTTGGGCTTTCCGAGGGACAAGGTCATCAGGGCGATGCAAGCAAGCTACAACAACCCCAACCGAGCTGCAGAGTACCTTGTAGTGGTAGGTGCATGCCTGATAATTGCCTGATTTAAATCAGTTTCCCAATTATTTTTTATTCCCGATTTTACCCTTATTATGCCTCCGTTACGAAGTATCCGGAGGCATTATGTTTTCGGGTTATCTGAAGAACCGATTGATGGATTCCTGCCAAACTTTGGTCATGTATGTATCTTGCAGAGCCGATGAACTGATTAGATTTTGGGGTCACGAGGTCAAAGGTCAAAGGTCACAGGGCTCATTATGTATCCAAAAACAGCTCGTGATCGCGTTATCTGAAGAACCGATTGATAGATTCCTGCCAAACTTTGGTCATGTATGTATCTTGCAGAGCCGATGAACTGATTAGATTTGGGGTCACGAGGTCAAAGATCAAATGTCAAAGGTCGCAGGGCTCATTATGTATCCAAAAACAGCTCGTGATCGCGTTATCTGAAGAACCGATTGATAGATTCCTGCCAAACTTTGGTCATGTATGTATCTTGCAGAGCCGATGAACTGATTAGATTTTGGGGTCACAAGGTCAAAGGTCACAGGGCTCATTATGTATGCAAAAACAGCTTGTGATCGCGTTATCTCAAGAACCGATTGATGGATTCCTGCCAAACTTAGGTCATGTATGTTACTTGCAGAGCCGATAAATTGATTAGATTTTGGGGTCATGAGGTCAAGGCCAAAGGTCATGCGGCTCATTATGTATGCAAAAATAGCTTGTGATCGCATTATCATTAGAAGAGATTGATGGATTCCTTCCAAACTTAGATCATGTATGTTTCTTGCAGAGCCAATGAACTGAGTAGATTCTTGGGTCATGAGGTCAAAGGTCAAAGGTCATGGGCTCTATTATGTATGCAAAAATAGCACGTGAACGCATTCTGGATAACTATTTAACTCAGGACATCTTGCAGAGCCAATGAACTGAGTAGATTTTAGGGTCATGAGGTCAAAGATCAAAGGATCATATATGTTTATGAGAAATTGCTTGTAATCACAATATTCTGAGAACTTGTTAATGGATTATAATTTAACTTACATTTGAAAAATTTCTTTGTTTGGTTTGTAAAATTGCTCTATGACGGAGGCATAATTTTCGACTGCACACAGTCGAAGTTCCATCTAGTTTTCCCTTTCTTTCCCCATTTGTCCCCCATTTTTCCCCTATTTTATTCCAAATTTCTTACTCAAAAGGCGGAGAACGTTGTTAAATGCCATTTTTTTCCCCTGAATCTTTTTTGTTTGTTTTTTTACTCAAGGGGGAGGTGGTTGAGGGAAGACGAAAAACAATTTTTTTTTTTAGTACTCACTATCACCCCTGTAGGTGTGACCCTTCTAATACAAACACACTTTCTTTGTGGCCCATCTACCTAAAAGAAAGATGCTGCTCTGAAATACTATTTTAATTTTTTATATTTTTATTTCTACCACTGACAATTCTTCCTACCGCATATGGTGCTCTACTTTTACTAGCAAATTTTATGGGATTTTGGGTGATTTTGGGTCACTGGATGGAAAAGGAAATTGAGATTTCCAAGGTTCCGACAGTTAGTGCAATGATATACTTTTTGAATAGAATATGATTCCTATTTTATTATTTAAAAAATTAAGATGTCGTAAACATATTGGATTGAAAATCATATTAACATTAAGTTTTATGCAACATCCCATTTTAACTGCGGCAGTTTCATGGTTATGAATTATGGTTCAGACATCTCCCTTAGACGTTTACTTGCAGACTCAGTTGATAACTACCAATACACATCTGAGGTGCCTGAACAATAGAAAACTGTCATATGTAAATTATAATTGGTTGTGTCATACACTTCAAACTTATTTGTAGTTATTCAAACCAGTCTGATAAACTGGTTCAGCAAAGAAGGAATAGTGTTTGCTGTACTTCTGGAATGGGGCATCTCGTATTGCCTATTCTCCCAAGACACTATAATGAATGATATGCTGTTTAGGATGATCAGAAATATGCACCAACAGCATTTGCTTTGAGCTTTATTTCATCAATATAGAGATAGATTTAGGGTTGAAGTTTGGAATTTCAAATTGTTTCAAAGTGAGTTCTGGGCCGTGTAACACAAAGCTTGACAGCTGATTGTATGATTAATTTTGCATTAATCACCATGTGCAATCAATCACAAAAATCAATTGTACTAGGCTTTGTGTTACAGGACCCAGAGCAGTTGCCATTTCACAGTTTTTATCATATGTGATTTTTCACATCCATTATTCTTATGTTTTTGTAAAAATATTAATTTACCATTTTGAATGAGGTTTCCTAAACTAAAACAAATGCCATTGCAATCACTGATAATTCCACCATATTTGGTCATGATTGCTTACTTGTGCAGGGTATTCCAGATCCACCACCTGAAACGCCGGCAGACCAGCCACCTTCACAACCGTCTCTACAATCATCACAGTCCTCATCTCAACCAGGTCAGTGACACTTATGAAAAAAAAAAGTGTTTCAGAGGTCTTTATGAACATTAATTAGCTTATTGATTAGAAGATACCTGATCCATGTGCCATGTTTCAAAATTTCTTTAGCTAATATCCTTGCTGTACACATTTGAGGTGTCTGAAGCATAGAATACCATCAGATCCCTGTTGGAACCCCTATTGGGTCCTCAGATCTGAGATCCTTGAATCTAGTTTTATCCAAGATCCAACAATAATCCATTTAGATTCTTGCTCTAGCCTTGTTGGATGGTGGATCCTTGGACCTTTCTTGGATCCTTCTTAGAGCCTTGGATTTTGGAACTTGAATCCTTGAATCTTATTTTCAAGATAATGCAACCTTGTAATGAATTTTGCACAAAGTATTTAGAAGTGTCGTAGTCGAGTGGTTTAAGGACTTGACTTGAAATTCAGAGGTCTTGGTTCAATCCCAGACATGGCGCTAATGTCCTTTGGCAAGGCATTAATCTACATTTGCCACTCAATCCCCAAGAGAGAAATGGGGACTCGGTAGAATGACGAAAGCATTTGTGTTAGTAATTGCCTATGCCCTCACGGTGACCATGTGGTAGGAACACTCCCCAGGGAGTGGAGATGGTGCACATTGTGCTTAGAGACGGTACTCTGTATTAAACGCTGTATAAATCCTGATTTATTTAAACATATTTGTGGCTCACACCCAGTAAATAAGATCGATCTGTATTGAAAAACAAGTCAAAAAAAATCTTGGAACCAGTGGGACTTGAACCTGCATCTACTGCTTGCCGGGCAGCGACCGTACCACTAGGCCATCACTGGTCCATGGCACAGTCAAGATGAACTAGAGTCGCTGCCCGGCAAGCAGTAGTTGCAGGTTCAAGTCCCCTTGGTTCCAAGATTTTTTCTGACTTGTTTTTCAATACAGATCGATCAATCAATCTTATTAACTGGGTGTAAGCCATAAATATGTTTAAATACTTGAAATTTCTCCCAGGAAACATTACATTTATAAAATCCAGATATATTTATTTATTTTGTTTATTAACTGTTCAATCATAATTTTTTTCTTTTCAGGAGGTGAAGGTAGTCCTTCATTGGAATTCCTAGATCAACTTCCCCAGTTCCAGCAATTACGGGAAGCCATATCCTCAGACCCAGCCATGCTCAGCCAATTTCTCCAGTCTCTAGGTCAATCAAATCCACAACTTCTCCAGGTAAATGATTTCCTGTAAAGTTAGCAATATTTGTGGTACATTAATTTTCACGGATTTTGCGCTGAGATCAGCAAGCACGAATTTTAGAACTCGCGAAAATATGAGCCTGACTTTTTATGCATGTTTTGAACGGGCTGAATTGCTTGCAACGCGAATTTAAGAACCAGCAAATATGTTTTGGGGTCGCTCAGCTTGAAAAATTGATCACGCAAAAATAACTGCGGTTAAAGCAGTTTTATACCTTCAATTCCCTTTCAAATAGATTTAGGGAAATTAGACCCAAAACAATCACTTTTTCCTATGTTAACTTAGCCCTATGCATGTACCTTCATGGTTCATTGTGATTATGAAAGTTGCAGCATGTATTTTCCCCCTAAAAATGTTGCAATAAAATTGCAGAAACACACGAGAGGAGATGAACATTTAGCCATTTGTGTAAATTTTTGAAAGTTTTGAACATATGATGTATGATTTCAGAATGTGATAATCTCACTTTTAAAACTCAACACATTATTTTTTATTTTTCCAAATGAAATCTGTTCTTTCAGGGTTTGTTGTGGGGTCAAGTCAGGGGCGTACGCAGGGGGGGGGGGGGTTTGGGGGTTAAAAACCCCCCCCTTTGGTATTTTTATGTGTGTGAACCCCCCTAAAAAAAACTAAACCCCCCCCCCCCCTTTGTTATTTTTTTTTTTTTTTTTTTTTTTTTTTAAATATTTTGGGCCAGATTTTAAAACCCCCCCCCCCTTGAAAAAATCCTGCGTACGCCCCTGGGTCAAGTACAAACAGATTTATGACAGTATTTTGATGTGCTTCCCTTCCCTTAAAATGGTATCAAAATGTGTGTAAGACTTGAGGGAAAAAAGTCATGAAACAACAATTCAAAATTCCAAGCGGTTGCGGCGCAATCTCCAAAAATGTCGAGGGGGGGGGGCCTCTCAGGCCCTCCCCCCCTAGTACAGTAAGGTTTAACCCTTACTGTACTGGGGGGGGGGCCTGGGAGGCCCCCCCCCTCGACATTTTTGGAGATTGCGCCGCAACCGCTCGGAATTTTGAATTGTCGTTTCATGACTTTTTTCCCTCAAGTCTTACACACATTTTGATACCATTTTCGTAAAAATCGGATATACCTGTAAGGTGTTACATAACAATTAGTATGCGCATGTCATCAAAAAAGTGCTATAATTGCATATATTCATGTACAAGCAGAAATGTGAAGCTATGAATTGATATCAAATTGCTTTTATGTGTTTCTCAGAGTAACTTAATGTATTTCAGAACAAAAGAAAACAATAGATATAATAAGAAATAAAAAACAATAAAATACATAAGAAAATAAATAGTTGAAAATCGCATCAAATTTGCATAAATTATCATTATTAATTACTTCAAATAACTTTTTTGTGATAGAAAAGAAGTTTCATTTGAATAATGAGTAACAACATTCAAGAAGTGGAGTCTGACAATTTTTGTAAGGATTCTAGTTCCCAATATATATTTCCGGATTTGATATTCATGAATGCATATTCATAATTTATGCAAATTAACCTATTAATTTTCAAATATCATGAAAATAATGAAACCTCATGAATAAGAGATGAAGGAAACACTTATTCAATACATTTTCAAGATTCTTCACAATTCTACGGACAAATATGGAGAGTTTTCTGTAAAATGCATAAAATTAGCATTTTGCATAATTAATTAGGCTATAACGACAAAAATTTGCATATTAGCGAAAAACTAATTATACCATCTTGTTCCTTACGTAAATATCTACAAACATGCAAATTTTCGCGTTCATCGGACATTCGACGGCCGAGATCATGGGGGGGGGCTCCCAGGCCCCCCCCCCAGTCAGAGAGTGCTCGAAATAGCCCACTACAGTAAGGGTTAAGACAAGTTTTGAATTGGTCAACAGTTTGACAGTTTTTGACATTTAAGGGTAGTCTGTTCCAAAGTTCAGCAGAAGCTTTGCAAAAAGAGCAATAACCTACTGATTTCTCTCTCCCAACCCCCCCCCCCCCCCCCCCCTCTTACCCTGAATGTGATTAGATCATAAGCCAACGGCAGGAGGAATTCATCGCCCTCATCAACCAACAGCCTGATGCAGCTGCACAGCCTGCTGTAGGAGGAGGAGGAGGTGGAGGATCAGGAAGAGGAGGGAGTAGTAGTAGCTCGTCTCTGACCTCAGCAGCACAGCCAGGAGGACAGCAGTCATCATCACAACCCGCCAACCCCCCAGCCCAGCAGGCAGGGGGACAGGGTGGGGGACCAGGTATCAGGATGTCAGAAGAGAATCCAGGGGTTGCTTACATTGAACTCATGCCAGAAGAGAGGGACGCAATTGAAAGAGTAAGTCCAAATTATGTCCAACTATCCAGTTTTCAACAATTCTTTGCTCTCAGTTTCATAATGTAAGTAACAAAATTAATAGTAATAATCCCTCTAATGATATAACAATGGTGTTATAGGGAATGATATGGTATCATTATTATTATTAAATCCATACTAATTCTGTCATTTCTCTCTCTCTCTCTTATATTTTTCTTTCCTCAGTTGAAGGGGCTCGGTTTCCCTGAAGAGTTAGTAATACAGGCCTACTTTGCTTGCGACAAGAATGAGAATTTAGCCGCCAATTTCCTCCTTCACGAGAACTGAATCACCTATAATTGTTTTTCAGAAGTCACGTCTATTGGCTCTTGGTGATCAAGGGTCCTTATTTGTAATATGTATGTTTAAAAAAAGACTAAAGTTTTCAACGAAGAAGACTTTTCATAATCAACTCTCAAACTTCGTAGGGGGATTCCAAATCTGCACCAGTGTAGTATAAGTCACATTAATTTTCTAACTTGGAAGGAAATAGTCTCTTTTTTATATACCTGTAATGGCCAGTTGTAGTTTAGTGTAATTCTTAGCTGCAAATGCCAAACCAAACCAGTCGCCAGCAGTATTTTCTCATACCATGTCATTATGTTGTGAGTTCCTCCAAATTAAACATCAACTGAAACAATATGGAGCACATCTGCAAAATATATGTAATCGTGGTCAACACTGAAAGTGCTACTGCAATAAAAGAAGAATGTATGATTGAAATTTCTTTTACATTACATTTTAGATGATTAATAATCTCTGGGTTTGTGTATGTACTGAAAGAAGTTGCTTTTATATTGCTCAATTCACAATAAACTCAAAATCATTTACAAAGGTGATCCACTTTTGTCACTGCTGCTAGAATCAACCATTTGTGAGCACTTGAAAATACCAATATACCAAGATGCAGCAAGCTAGCTACTCCAGGTTCAAACTGCTTACCAGATAAAATGGCATGAATTAATCTCTTCACTGAATTTAGGAAAGAAAAACCTCCTTTTACCCATAGTACTTCAACCCAAATTGGTTTTAAATGCCTGATGAGTCAGCGATAAAGCATTTGTACAGTAGGTCTAAGTATAAAAACTCTGTATGTGATGTTGCACATACGAGTCTTTGTGTGAATACCCATTTTATTATTTCACTACCAAAGTGGCTGGATTACATTGAATTAAGTGAAGATTGAATACCCACCGTAATCACTTTAAACTCCTGGAAATCTGACTTTCATTAGTTTGTTTCTCCAGAGGTAATGACAAAATTGTGATATATATTAATTTCATTAAATAATCTCTCTTTAATAACAAGCTTACTGAAAATGACCCTTGACAGATTCATGGTTGCTACCAACTATGACTTAAGTCCTTACTTTCCCGATGGCCATGTTGAGTTGCGGAACGTTATGAATCCTTTCCCTTTTCTCCAACCAAACCAGTGCCATTATAACTTGACTGCTGCATTGTATCAACAAGTTAGATAACACTTGCTGCTTGGCTCTTGGTATTCACTCCAAGACATTTGTACTATTAACCAAGTAATAGCTCTATGGGATGAATAACGGTGCTGCTTAAACCATACTAATCACCTGACAAATATTATGTATACAGCTAGAATGTATCAAATCAACCTAAAAAAAAATTCCCGGCTTTCAATGGTCTAACGAATAAGAAGGAAGAAGAAAATAAAGAAATACATAAAACACACTGCGCAAAATTCCTGGCTTTCAATGGTCTAACGAATAAGAACGAAGAAGAAAATAAAGAAATACATAAAACACACTGCGCACGGAACCGATGTTGAACTTGGGTTCCGTGAGGGCCTTTAGGTGCAGGCCCTATTCTACATATGTGGACCCGTACAGGTGCGTTGAGTAGTCTACCTACCAGTCCCTATTGTATTAATTTAGAGTGTATCTACTCTTGCAGTATCTCTTTATTGAAGCAATATAGGAAACTCATAATTTCAATACTGTATGGCAAAATATTACCCTAATATAATAGGGCAAAATACTTTCTGGTCATTGGTACATTTTAAGGGGAAAATCACAGCCTGGTTCATGAACATGTTGCTATAGATTAAGTGTTACTTGCACTTGGTATTAACTTCATGACATTATATTCTACTGTATATGCTTAATCAGTTTAACTATGGGCTGGAGTGTTGGCTCAGTCAGTAGAGCGTCCGCCACACAACCGGGAGGTCGTGGGTTTGAACCCCGGCCGCGTCATACCAAAAGACGTTAAAAGATGGGAGTTGTTGCTACCTTGTTTGGCGTTCAACAATAAGGGATAGAGCAACACTGGCGCTGCTCAGTGGCTGCCGGGCTCACGATCAATTGGGCAAAAAGAATTTCCGTTTCGGTTTAATAAAATTTGGAGTGGACTATTAGGCTATTATTATTATTATTATTATTATTATTATTATTATTATTTTGGTTAACTAAGGATTAGCTGCAAGGGATGAATACATGGTAATGGAGATGTGAGTTGATCTCACATTCGCCTGCAAACTGGCTCAGGTGACCCTGGTTCGAAAATGGTAATGTTAAAGGTCGGTCCCAAGATAATATTAGGGACTTTTAGATTTGCGTGGACTGATACGTGTGACGTCCATTCAAGGCAGTGCATTAAAAGGACGTCGACCGTAGCAATCAACATTGTCTTCTTGCAAATCTAAAAGTCCCTAATATCTGATGGATACCCGTCTGTAAAACACACACACAATGTGTGGGGTTCAATAAATGCTACTTGTATCACCACATAAGTCATAACTATCATTTTTGATTACATTTTTTTAAACCTGACTTTGGCTATATAATTGCATGCTCTGTAGAATTACACTTGTCAATTGTATAATCAACCTACAACACCAGATTAAAATGTAATGGCCATCAACTTTCTTTGCATGATCAAAATAACGAAGCTGGCAATGTGTTCCATGCATACTACGCCGTTCATTGTTGGCAATACTGGGAATGTTCAATGTTTTTCTTCTATGCCAGCAATTATTATTATTGTTTATTTGTTTGTTTGTATATGTTTTATAATATTGTACAAAGTATTGATCAAACAAAAGGACTGCTAGTAACTGGAAGAGTGCCAAGTGCTAAAGTGTCACTCCCGGATGATATGCAAACCTATGGCCATGTGAGGGTACAGTGTAAAAGCAGGGTGCTACACACTACATGAACTCACCTTGCCCAAGGCAACTGATTACAATTATTCTTATACAGTTTGGGAAACCCATAGTCTAGTTCTCAATCATTATTTTCAATCATTTTTTAACTTAACATTTCTGTCAAAGAATCAGCAAATAGAATTTGCATTTAAGTTGGTATTGTAAAGACTTTGTTGACCCAAGCTGGAGATATTTATTTCCAGTAGCATCCAACGATCAATAGATATCTTTCTTACAAACATTATCCTCATTCTTTACTATTCTTTTTGTCTATTTTGTTTTGGTTCAATTTTAATTTCAATCAGATATATCTCTCTGGTATTTCAATCATTATGGGATACTTTAAAGGAAATTTTCTGGAATATAGGTACCGGTACAGGTATTCAATATGTATTTTGATTTCCAGCCAATGGTGTTTAACTCTTACAACCAAGTAATATGCTTGACACTATTGCCTCAAAATGACGGAATGAAAACGGCTGGAATTTTGGGAGGGAAAGATAGTAGCTCTAATTTTGCTTGCTTGCCAATTTTGTTTTTGAATGCTTGGTATGAGCTATTAACCAAATGTCATTTGAAAGCTATTTAGTTGTCTTTTCCACACTTCCCCTCTTGTGGTCTTGAAGATGTGACCGATACTAATACCAAAGGCGTTTAAATAATAGAAAAAGATTAATTAGTGAAAATTCCACATTGCCAAATTTTGTTTGGTTCAGACTTCTTTTAAGAAATCTCACACCCCATTATCCAAACTGAAACAATTAGCGTAGATAGGGCTTTACATTCGCTTCATAGTATTTCCATTTACAGTTCATGTTTCCATATTCCATCCCCCTCCCTCCCCCCCCCCCCCTTCTTTATGAATGATGATGATGATGATTCACAGCATTTGTATGGCGCCATATATCTGTTTAAAAAAACATTCAAAGGCGCAAGCTCCTCCAATAAAGTTAGCATTTAAATGTCTGAAGGAATTTGACAAAACCTACATGTATTGAAATGGGGCATCATCATGAATACTCTGCAGATAAACTTTGATAAATTTTGTTTACTATTGTTGAAATTATTCTAGATGGGCTAAACTGGTGGTATACAAAAGAAAAACATGTTCAAATCAACATTATTCCCTTAGATTGAAATTGTTACGAGCCATACTAGGAAGAATCTTGTCTTTTTGTAAATTAAGAGTTGCATGTGTATGTTGTGTACATGACACAGTCATTTATTTATTGTACATGTACGAAATTGGACCTCACTTCAACTTTTTCTCAAAATTGTGAGGATATAATATATATGTACCTGTATAAGCTTTGTAAAGGTACACGTACAAACAACACTTAATTTTACTTCTCAAATTAAGTTAGTTTAATTACAAGAACTACAAAATTGTATTATAAGTTGACTGAAAAGCAAGTTTTATTTCAATAAAAATGTCTCACAATTTGCCAAGGGTCTCGGATAAGTCTTGTTTTTTTAATATTCATATATTTTATGAGAGTTAGCTGAAATCAAAGACAAAAGAATATCGGAATATACAATGAAAATTTGCAAATTAGTCCTAGTACATGCAGTACCTACTCAAAGTATACCCGGTAATTGAAATGGCTGTTTCACGAGAAATGTACATTTGTTGGTATATGAAAGACTGTTTGATACTTATGACTGCATATACATGTATATATCTCAGAATAAAGGCAAATTGATCTTTTTCTTTTTGCTTAAATGAAATCTTTGTTGCACATCTTTATTTTATTTGTAAACGGCTAGTTCTTTCAAATCAAGTTTGCTGAGTACATTTCTAGTGTAAAGCGACTGACACGAGCAACGTTTTGGACACACTGTTACATAAAACACGATATCAATATTACGGTTCACAGACATTGACATAAGTTAATAAAATGGTTGCATTTGATTGGAAATGTGAGCAAGTTTGTGGCAGGCATTGTAATATCAGTTTGTGGCATGAATTGGAGCTTTCCAAAATTGAATATTGACTTTCTTTTACTTCTGCAAATGAGGATGGTATAGCCATTCAGTCCTTGGTATGATTACTTGGTATGATTCTTCAAAATCTGTTAATATTATCTGGTAATAAAAGTGCGAGATAATCTTACAAAGTCACAACTGAAGGTCCTTCAGTTAATACCATTTTACATAGTGAAAGTAGTGGCACTGCAATATGGTGGCAACATACTAAAACAAATAATTGATACAGTTTAAATTATTCAACAATTTTTGTTTTCAATTCATATTTTCTTTATCATTATTTTTTATTCAAAGTGTAGGGTTGCGGTTCTAACTAATTCCTAGCACTCTTAAGTACACAGAGGCAGCCCAGCAGACATGTTGTACGATTGATAACTCCTGGCTAACTGAACAGGTTTTAATGTAGCAAAGCATTACAGCATTCTATGTAGCATTCCACATACATTCCATGCAAAGTAGAAGAAACCAATACATATTCATTTAGTCCCATACAAGTATAAATCAGCATCACAAAGTATTCTTGAATATTCAAACATAAACAAAGGGTATATATTGAATATTCATGGTATATGTAAATTATACTATAAGCTTGACTGCATCAGGTGAACATTGAAACCAATGAGAGAGAGAGAGAGAGAGAGATAGACAGATGAAAGGATGGTGGATGAAAAGGGTGAATGTGAATGAGGGATGACCTATTAATATGAAAGGGATGAATCATGGATATGAGGGGGAGTTTCAGAAGTTCAAAATAAATCCCTACAAACTAGTCTTCCCCTTACAAATAAAATGTCCTCATTTTATAAGGCATTGTCCTTTCTTCGATTACCGAAACATCTAACACATTAAACATCTTTCAAAACGATATTTTCTATCCTTTCCTCTTGTAAACAGAGAATCACTATCAATATATCCTTTTGTTTTCCTTGAAAAGAAAAACTAAACCTTACTACCTGTAAGCATATATATATACAATTGTACAAAACAAATGAATCTTACTCGTATATGACCTATGACTCAAATGTACAGAGTATTAGCTTAATATACATGTATAAGCCGAAAAGAAAAACAAAAATCTGCAAAAACCAAATGATTTTATATATTTATCTGAGCTCTCCCGCTTCCAATCTGTTTCACTTTTATCTCGGGGAAACACTTCCCGATTCCAATGGTAAAATAGAAACAACTATAAATACAGTGTATCTGCCTTTCTAAAAAAAAAAAATTGACTCAAAAAGTTGTAACAATCCTAACAAAATACTTTTTGTTCAAACGCCGTTTCCTTCGTTTCTAAAGCCAAATACAGTTCCAAATTTGCTACGTTCTCATTATTTCGAGCAATTGGTAAGGAAATGAAATCATCTACAGCTGAATAATTCTTTCAACCAATTATTACTTCTTCTTTTTTTTCTTTTTTTTACCTTCTAGAAATGAAAAATTCTATCACTTGGAAATTTGAGATTTTCCAGAAGCTATCCATTACATGACTACAAATACATAACATTCATATTCCTATCATCATAATAACCAGACATAAGTGATTATATCACATTATCATAATATAAAACATAAGTCAT